TGTCGGAGCCTCTGGTAGAAATTTTGTCGGTGGATCGAATATCGTTTGCGATTCGACGATTGCAGTCGTCCAGAGTCTGTCGATACTTGACAAAGAGATGACCCGTTTACAGCTACAAGATCGAACGATTTATTCGTTGGAATTCACATAGGTGGGATGCAGTTTTGCGAACCCTTGAACAAAAAAAAAAAAAGAGTCCGAAAGCGACATAACTATCACATTAAAGGTTAGGAAATAGGTCAAAATTTCGAACTCTTTTTTGCTTAATAACTTTTCAATGGATGGATCCCTGAACTCAAAATTGATATTTTTGCATGTTATTTGATACGTAGATTCGATCAATACAAATTTTCAGTGAAAAAAAAAATTTTCCAGAGATAAATTTCACATCCTAATTTTATTATATAAAATGATACAAACACTTCTCTCTACAAAGGCGACCACCGAACAACTGAATTGCACAAGGGGGAGGGAAACTTATTGCGTCATTCAAACTCCTACCAACTTACAAAACTACAACCTTACAACCTAAATCTTTTATTGACACTCAACGCAGCTTTTACGCGCGAATTAAATTGTACGTGTATACGCGACGAGACTTCCTCGACGTCCCTGAAAAGGCAGGGACAGGATTCTTCCTACAAGATCGCCGCCATCGCTAACGCTTAGTAAACAAAGCTGGCCTTCCCAGAGGCCAGTGCACCAGACGCTGCTGGGGCCCGCCATATTTGCAATTCCTATCGCGTTTCTTCGACGCCTCGAGTTTGTGTGTGTGTGTGCTTGCAATAACGATCGACTCTTTAAATATTTGCTCCGTGGATCGCGATACGTTGCATAGGAATAGAAGTGTCTAAAGCCGCCATTGCCTCGGCCGTTGAACGGCGATCCCCCTACGATTCGGAAATATAATCCACCGTCCCGGAAATTTTCCACGCGTCCCTCTGCCCGTCTGGAGTGTAGCCAACCGACCGCAAAATGAAATTGTTTCAGGCTGGTTCCACATTCGATGGATTACGTTCTCCGTTCTTCGTGGCCATCTATGGATACACTCGCCGGGAAACTGAAAATTCTTAGATCTCTGGCTCGTAAAAATAGCCGGGATATTTATTCGCTATGTTGTTCCAGATGTACGCGTGGCCCTGACACTATTTATGGGTTTTCAGAGAATGGTAGCACAGGTTGATCCTTGTCCAAATTCAAATTTCATTAGTTTTCGAAATGATCGATATTAAGTGTATTTTTTCAGTTATTACCACATTTTACTAGAATAATGACTGCGGTAATTTCGGTTCACGAAATCCCCTTTCTGAACAACGGCGAGACGCTAACAAGGCTAAAACCCAACGAATCAACCGTTCCTGGGATGTTCGAATGAAACACTTTAAACCCTTTACGAGGAAAACGTCACTTCCCTTCAGGCAGAATATTCATGTTACCGTTGATTTCCAGCGTTATTCCGTGCCGTCGACGCATTATCAACGACAAAAGGGAAAACCAGGCGTCGCTCGATTGAAATTTCACGAGATGCGACGGTAAATAAGAAAATCGCGCGGGTATTCTCTCGGCTGGGGGGATATCTGGTATTTCGAACACGTCCACCGACGCGCGAAACGGAGAATTGCCCCCACTCCTCTGTTCGTTGTAACTTCCGTTGTGGGCCGGGTATCGACGGCCACGGGAGACGGGAAACCCCCTCTGGAAATCACGTTTCTTTAAGACACGAAAGAAAACTTTGTTAACGTAGTTGAAACGAAATGGAATTTCGGGTGTACCGTTTAAATAAAAAAGAAGGTAGTTGAGATAGATAAAGAGGGATGGTTGGAAGGAAAATCCAGAAACGGTCGCGGGGAATTAGTTTCTCGCGGCACGAGGTAAAAAGGTTAGGTTCACCTCGAGCGTTGGTCATTTTTTTTTTCTCTTGTTTCGCGCGCTCCCGCGTAATCTGTCGCGCCGAGAAGTCCAGAAAACTCGTCGGGGCAACACAACGCACACAAACGCGGTGGTCGTTTGTTGTCGTCGACGCTCCGTGGCAGATTAACGAGTTTATTTAATTCGACCCCGGGCAGGCGATATTAATTTCCCCCGGCAGGAAAGGCAGAGTTGTTTTCGCTGAGGCGCGCGCGTTCGGCAAAACGGCCGTGTCCTCGTTTATGGTGCACGCAATATTTCGCGTGCGCGCTGCGTGTAAAATCCTCTGTGTGTTGGCGGGCCAACCGCGCCACGGCTGGTGCGTAGAAGCCATTTTAACAGTGGTTCTCGTTTGCCCACCACCGTATGCATGTGTGTGCAGCTGTGTACACGGTAAACTCCTCCGATTACCTCTCTCACCGGCGAAAAGTTTCGTCGGCCCAGAAGCTAAAGTAGAGCAGCTCGAAATTCATATTGTTTCGTTTAGGAAACACGCGAAAATTCTAGCTGCTGCTCGCCTCATTAACGAGTTTCTCGGGATAATCATCATCTTCGTTTGTAGGCGCAGCGAATACAAAACGAATTGTACTTCAGTGAAGCCAACGACCTCTCGTTCCTTTTTTTTTTTTCCTACTTGCACGTTCACGGTTTCCGCGTTATGAACGGATCCCGTCCACGGAAAGCATTGCGTGGACGATTTTTTAAAACGGTTTCCCCGTATCGGTTGAATATTCATGAAAAGCCCGGAGGCCGGAGACCTCGTAGTGGCATCGATGGAAGACTGCCTTGCAAACTGTATATTTCATGGAGACGAGTCTCGATTCCGCGTGTATCCCCTCTAGTATAATTCTTCGTGCCCGAAATTACGTGCGTAGATGTTGAAAAGAGCGGGAAAAATACTGCCTGCAGCAGCTGCACCGGTAAACCTCGTGTCGCGAGCCACGTTAACGTCAAAATGGGACTCGGGTTGAGCCCCTGGGGTTTCTGGCGCCTCGACGAAGACACTTTAATCGCCCGTCACAATTTCTGTCCGTGACAACAGCCTAAGATACTCCAGTTTTACTGGCTATCGAGTCTTTTTATTATACTTTCACTCAAGACGTTACCTTTGATCATTGAAGAATACCTACGGACGTATAGGTTAGGTGTGTACGTGTGCGCGGTTGCATAATCTCTACATCCCATCAGTGTATATATGTATACCACGAGCCTTTGAAAACATTAACGAAACCTGTGTGACCTGATTCCCGATCGGATATTGCGCGTTGTTTTTTCTGTCCCACGGACAGAGTCGCAAAAATTACAAAAGCGCCGAAGGTCGTCGAGGTCGGGATACGCATCAGTTCTTCGCTTTAAGCGGAAATCTTTTTGTACGTTTTCACGTGACGGTAAAAGTCATGGCTTTTGTTGTTCTACCACTGTATGACAATGTGAATCAATGTCACAACGCTACATCGAGTTTTCACGACGACAGAAATCGTAACACTTAGCGTCATGACTGTAAAAATCACAATTTACTGTCACGTGGAAACGTACCATAAGAGTTAAACAGAAGCTCTGCTCGTGACGCGAGAATTTGCTTTCTTTTCTGCAATTTCTCAGAGAGCCGTTGCAGAATCCTTTCTGTAACCTAACAGACTCGCGTCTCTTGCAATTCCTCGCGAATTACTGAACCACGATTCGTCGGATGTGTACAGACACGCCCTCTCGAGGATTTTTTCTCGAGGCACCGTAAGACGGTCGGTGTGAGAAATCCTTCGTGGCAAAGGATATGACGCGTCCGTTCGCAGAAACTCCGAAAATGGATACATAATTCTTTTCGCTGGATTATACGTTTTGGGTTCTCTTACCCGCCAGCAAGAAGCGGTTAGACTGACATTGCGCTAGAGGATTTATTACACCCGGACCAACGGGACTCTCACTTCCGCTATCCGTATTCCATTCTTCTCGATGTGAATTTTCCTTCTCGCAACATACACGTGACCGACTTTCCTTCTTTCACGAGAACGAAGAATAGCGAGGCCCACTCACGGAGAATAGAGAAACTATAACAATTCGATCGATCGACTGTCTAGGAATACATAAGTTCTTGGTCGCAAAGAGTATTGAAACGTATGTATTTAGAAAATTACGTGTCCACGGCAGAACAAAGCTTTCTCGATGCAGAGGGCACAGTATACACGTATTACACGAGAAAATGGTATCTGCACCGAAGAAGACAAAAAATACGTACGCAGTGCTGTATAGCTCGGTTTCGAGAACTCTGCGCGTATGGTTGGTTGGTTAGTTGTTAGCGTCTGTGTCCAGTAGGGGGTGCCAGCAGGGGGCTAACTTCACAAATTATTGCCAGCCATTTGTTACACGGTTCGCTCGACCGCGCAGCTGTTTTCCCGCGAATCAGTCTGTGGTTTCCGAGCGTATTAATCGGATTCGCGTGACCTAACGGCGCACGGTTAATTGCACGAGATATATCACGCTCTGAGAAAAACCACCAACACCGTGCACTACGTAACTTTGCCGTTACAGAGTTTCTGGCGAGGAACTGATGACCAAATGTCAGCCGTCGAAGTAAGAAATGTTAGGTTATCTGGGGATGCGTGAGGAAGCGCTTTGGAAGTATTCAGAGCACAGAATGTTAGTAACGAACAACGATTTATTCACATGTCAGGAATATAGATATTAATACCTATCGGAACCAAAATATGCGTCGACTTCGAACATCTGTTAACAGGTGGGGTTATTAACATTGCGTTCCTCGATGTACCCTAACGAGCAAACTCTGCTTCCACTAGGGGAAAAAGTGGTATAAGAGAAAGGCCTCCTACCACTTGGTAAATTTATTTCCAATACTGAAATAAATCTTAAATCGAATGTTAATTTGCCATAAATTTCAGTAATTTCTGATTCCAAGTGGTAGGAGACCCTTCCCTTACGCCACTTTTTCCCCTAGCGGAAAGTGCGTTTGCAGGTCACTGTACCGATCGTTCGGTCGGTAAGGTCGGAATCTTACCGTTCCTAGCAATTGTTTGTTTTTCATATGTAGAGTCTGATCTTGTGATCGTCTATAACGGATGTATGGTTTTGTTTTGCAGGCGTGCGACTGTCTGGGGATCAGCAAGGAGTGCGACTACTTCGGTTTAAAGTATCAGAACGCGAAAGGCGAGGAACTCTGGTTGAATCTGAGGAATCCCATAGAGAGGCAAACTGGGGGCGGTGTGCCGCCTCTGAGGTTCGCGTTAAGGGTTAAGTTTTGGGTGCCGCCTCACCTGTTGCTACAGGAAGCCACCAGGTAAGAAAAAACCCGTTTCATATTGTCGAAACGTCACGCCTCGGGTCGCTCAAGGTCTTGGGAACACGGTTACTCATAGGTTATATACGCGTCCGTTCGTGCATAACTTAACCACGATATCACTTTTTGCCATCGTTCGATCGCTCGAAAGTGAACAGAAGAATCCTTTGGCGTTCGATAGTTAGATCGATTCCTCGTTTCGCTGCGAGTTTCGCAAGAGCTGCGAAACAGACGAGAAGTATTTCATCGCGGCCGTCCCTGACTTCGAATTGGAAAATCGATTTCCTGAAAAGAATCCTCTCTGTCCTCGCGCACGAGGCGCTGAGAATCCGCCAGCTTGATCGATCGATCGACGGTTCCGTTGAAAGAGCTTTCCCTCGTTTCAGATCGTCAAACGAGCACGTACGAAATTGCATGCCGGGATCGAAATACGGTCTGTGCTGATTGTGCCGCATAATATCAACGCTGAATACACAGGGTGTCCCGTAATAAGCATCGGGTCGGAAATCCTGTTTCTCGTATCCAGGATATACAAAAAAGAAGCGATAAAAGTGTTTTAAATGGAGTCGAAGGCGGATGATCGAGTCGCTGATTGGTCCTCGAAGGAATCATAGGGTTTTCGTGGCAGAAGACCATCTTGGGTTATACAGCAGTCTGGTATACGTGAAACAGATAAGAGAAAGTTAGAGATGGTAAGCAGCTGGATGTTGCGTTGCCTTTACAATAGGGCCATCGTTTCTGGATGAGATATGGTCACGGAGTGGAGAAGTCAAAGTCCTCCAATATCAAAAGCCTCTGACTACGACACGTTTATTTTACAATTACGTTTCCGGACACGTGGCACTAGAGGTAGTCCATTTAGGTGGATCGCAAAGCGATCGTGTCGACGGTAGACTACAACGTGAATTTTTCAACCACGTAAACGTAATTCCATTTTAATCGCGGTCGCTCGAATTGGCTCTCGGTGAGAGAAGGTAAACGCAGCGACGAGTAATGTGTCCGACACGCGAATTAATTCGTCGCGTCGAGGCGGACTACGGTAATTGCGCGCCAGCTGACGCGACCGTTCGTTCGTTTCGCTACCAACACTCCTGCGTTCAGCAACACGTGTTCCCAGATTTACACCGTCGAATCCTGTCCTGTCCCAGGGGCTATGAAAAATTTCGGAAATCGACGAGAGCAAGATTAAATCACTCGCCGTGATATCTCCTCGATTCGAGGTTCACCGTTTTCGAGCTTTCCACCGCGTTCCCTCTCTTTCTCCCTGCATTCGCGTTTTGCTCTCAAATATTACGCGCTTGAATCAAGCTTAAGCGTACCACGGTTTTTCCATTGGAATTCTTCGTTCGTGACGGCGAAGCCGATTACGGAAATTTATCTCCGTTTCTTTCCTGGCTGTCTCTTAAACTGTGTGTTATAATTCAATGAGGATACCTTGTGTGTCGCGATTGTAATGCATTCACGCCCTTATCTATTTGTCACCTACAAATATTTTGCAGTCTTATCGGTTTTCTGTTTCGATGCGTCATACTGTACCGACCACCGCAAAATGTCACTCTTGATCGTAAGTCAACCGAAGATGGCAGTTTCGGTTCCTCTTGCGTCCATCGCACGATCGTTTATATCGACGCGTGCGCTGAGTCACTGACTACAATATGATAATATGTAGATACATACGCGTGTAGCATTCGTCTAATCCCGTGAATTGAAAACGCTGATAAGCAGACGGTTGGTTAATCGGCCGATTGTTTTCGAGCGTCTACGGTCGCTGGCCGTTATCGAAAACCGATGAATATTTCATGACTACGTTATCCCGTTCGTCGTCGTCTCGACTGCCCTGGCTTATTTCCGAATCGATTAAACGTTCCTGGCCGTGTCCTACGCGGCTTGTAATGTCTTGTAAGACCGTCAGAATGACTGTCTTTACTATAAGCTTACCGTGCAATCGATGCAACATTTTTTTAAAATGTATATTTCAATAATCAACTGGAATATTGCTGTCGGATGACCGTACTAGTACGACATTTCAAACACAAAAACCATCCTGCCAGCAAAGTATTAAGCTGCGTCTCCATTATGCCGATCGGCAAAACCGAACATATGGGGATATGTCATCGACACGTGCCAACAGGCCGCGTGGCATAATGGGAACACAAAATAGGCCGATCGGTTTTGCCGGTCGATTTTGCCGATCGGCATAATGGTGACGCAGCTTTAAACGGTACGTGCACCTGAATGGAATCGGTATTGCGCGACGAAGAGTCTAAACGCGACAGCTCGTTCAACTGGAAGCAGAGGCATTACCTGGTAGGGGAACTTATTTCTCGCGGGAACGATTTTACTCGTCGTCGTCGTACCATCGAAGGCCAAGAGACGACATAATTTCACCAACTTTCACAGATTGTCGCGCGTCTCCGGCGCCGTGCGAATTAACGCGTGCACCGTATTAAACGTCGTTTGAATATATGTATATATCTCGGTTAATATCTTTTCGGGTCGTTTAAACGCTCGTGTCAACGACCAGAGGGACGAATTAACTTACGATCGTGTCATGAATATTTCAACCCTGGGCGTTCGATGCCAACGCGAGGGATACGGGGCAGATGAACTCCCGTCGACGAGATTAAAGGCCGACCGTTAAAACCAGCGTCGGGGGACGTGTATTAAAAGACGAAAAAAGGTGTAATATTTTTAATAAGATTGCCTCGGTACTGCCATCCGTCGCGTGCACCCGGCACTCGATCGATTATTCCAGAATTTCATTACGGTGAAATCAATGATGTCGTTTCGCGCTTGCTTTTCCCGATAGTCGGAAATACGGCTGAACAGCTTTCCGTTACGGCAATATTAATTATTGATATTTATCTTATATTCTTTCGGCGATCGAATTATTTTTCGAGAACCTGGAATATCGCATTCGTTGTTACTTCCATACCAGTCGAGTAACCTCAAAGTTACCTCAAAATCGTTGCCCAGAATTCCTGGTGTTACCTTGTAAACACGTTTGTTACCTGTGACACAGGCAACAGAGCTACTAAAGAAAGTAGATGTCGGGGAATGGAACCGTTAGCGTGCAAGGTAACGCTGAAATTCTGGAATGACAGGACAAAGAGAACCTATCGTATTCACGGAACGAAGCATTGCGTAATAGATATTCGTATCTGCCCTCTAGGAAATATATAAATCATAGGTTATTACAATGGTTTTGTCGCGAAATAGACCGAGTCGTCCGTGGCCGTTGTGCAGTCGCGACATTCAATACCACCGATGCGAAACAATATCGTTTGTCCTTTGAATATCGGTGATCCCTTTATGTAACAACGTAATTTCGGGATCCCTTTTGTATTTCCGCTTCTGAGCAGAAATTAATGCATCCGCGAATGTATTCGATAGATTCCATCCTGGTTACAAATCCCTCTAAAGTCCGGGCGATTACGGAACAGTCTACCGAGAAGGGGGAGCGTTCTGCGAGCTTCCAAACTAACCTTTGAAACTCTCCTCGCGCGCGCGCTCAATATTGAGAGGGAAGGAAACCACTTCCAAATATCGAAAGGAATCCAGGATGTTTCCCGACAAGAGCATCGTGCAGGTTGCATAAACTCACGATTTCGGGGCCGCGTTTCGAACGATGCCCTCTTGAAACTTGGTCGGATAACTCACCGAGAGCAGATCCACCAACGTCTTGATGGGGACCACGCTCTGTCTCTCGAATTTATCGACAGTACCGCCAACACTGATTGTCACCCCTCCTGAACGAGACAGTTTTGTCGGCAGCACCAACTTATCCCCAGTTCCCCTTAACGCCATCGTATATTCGTTCAATCTGTTTCAATATTTAATATTCTATTATATTTGACGGCGTTACGTTATCGATGTACCTACGTATTACATCACTCCGGAGGTAACGCTCGCGCAAACTTCTCGGCTCGATATACAAGACGACGGAGTTCGAGATTAACAGTCGATCGTAAAACTCCGGAGATTTTACACCTTCTTTCCGTGGACCCCTTCGGGGTAAATTCTGTTATCGAACTGGCTGCCCCGTCTTCAACTTTTCCCGGAGACCTCTAAACATTTTTAAATACCCGGAAGCTATTTGCCGTTGTCGAGCGTCGTTTCTGGAAGTTAAACGATCCATCGGCTTATACTCTCGCCTCGTCCCATAAACCCCCTTTTTACGAACCGTGTTTCAAATATCGCTTACTGTTTTCGCGACGAGAAGACAGTCGTTTCGCAAACTTCATTTCGATGGGACGAATCGTACTACCTAACGGGTGTCAGTGTGAAATTAAGTACTCCGTTAAAAAAGACCATACACTCCGAATGTGAATTTCTTTATTTTTTTTTTTCCAAAAAGTTTGAACCGCCGTTCTGAAACGCGAAAATGGTAGAACGGTTGGTAGGCAGCGGCGTATACGCGTTCTCGAGATTTCGTTTACCCCGACTTTCGCAGTGAATCTCGCTTTGTAATCCAGTGGTATTACGAGCCACTCGGCTCGAACCTCGTTTCCTACCGCGGCACTATTTCCGTCTGGGCTTTTAGCCGTTGCGTCGCGTGAAATACGTTCGCGAAATTTTACCCGCAAACTTTCTACGGAAAACGAAAAAAAAAAAAGAAAGAAGAAACAAAATTGGACATTGGGAAGTGGTCGGATTCACCGACAAAAGCGCGTGTACACGCGAACAATTATCACTAGTTTCCACGATTCGGGAGTGTGTAATTAACGATGGACGAGTATATGTACGCGACGAAGTTTACGTCTCTGCCGTAAATATAAAGAGAAAAGGAAAGGAAACGTTCGTAAGTTCAATGTGAAAAAGCTTCTACTGTGGACTCTAACTATATTGCCACTAAATATATTGCCACTAAATATATTGCCACGCGACGCACTTCCCCTTCACGTGTACTTTCGAGCACACAAATTCACTCTCCCACCACGTACGCCGGCGCACCAGTACGGTCCAGCTTTTGCGCAGGTACCGAGGCCAAGGCTATGACGATAGAATTCAGCATGGAGAGGGTTCTGAACTCCCCTACAGCTCCGATCATGGCAATATAGTTAGAGTCCACTGTACACCGTCGAGCAAACTCTGCTTCCACTAGGGGAAAAAGTAACGTAGGGAAAAGGCCTCCTGCCATTTGGTATTTGGAATTACTGAAATGTATGCCAAATTAATATTCGATCTAACATTTATTTCACTGCCTGGAATAAATTTGCGAAGTGGTAGAAGATTTTTCTTGTACGCCACTTTTTCCCCTAGTGGAAGCCGAGTTTACTCGCTGGTGTACATCGAATCGTCATTGTAAAACAAGAACGAACGTAGCACAACTTGAGATGGCGAAGTTTGTCGAAGTTTGTCGAAGTTCGACAGGGTTGGCGAGATCTGTGGCGAACGGAAACGAACGTCCTGGACTTCGGTGGGTATCGATTGGCTGGAAACGGAGATACGATCGAAGTTTCAGAACTGAATTCCGTCGAGTAAATCAAGTTTCCATGGTTTGATGTTATAGCGGCGTTCTCGGATTAAATTGAAATACTAACATTAGTTTCCAATGCCTTCGGCATAACTTCCGCGACGTCGATCGCGGACACGATCGAAGGCCTCGAGAATAATCCGATTGTCTCTCGTTGCACGAAGATCGGGACATATGAAACGAACGATGACACAGTTACACACTGCGATAATTAATTCCAGGGAACAATAGTGACCAACGTTGCTTTCTAGAAAATCAGGATAATAGAGATGGTATGTAAAATCGGTAACAATAAACTGCCCGTTATGTGCATTTATATTAATTTAACTCGCATTTTTGTATCGATATCGTTAATACAAAATATACAGGTTATGTGACGCGTGCAGAAACTGTTTTCTATGTTCTCCACGAATCGGAAACGATCGCGAAAAATCACCGTGAATAATTACCGTGATTGAGAACGAACGTGATCGAATCGTTCGTTATTCAGAAGGAGTCGTTCACGCCATCTCTGGTATACAATAGATCGTCCAGGAGAATTCACGCGCGTATCGAGAACATTTTCCGGAACTTTCGGCGAAGTTCGTTGGTTAAGCAAGGGGACGAAAGTTGGTGTTAGTTGGTTTCGCGAATGCTTGGACTCCTCTGGAACACGGAACCGTGGAGAACGTGGTTGTATGCCCGACGAATCGAGTGGAGCGGTCGTCGAAACTTGAATTGTAAATCCCCTGAAATGCTGAATCGTGTGTCGGATGTTGGCGATCGATAGGCTGAAAACAAAGTTGATGCTTGATCGTTTTGATAAACAAAATCGTGTTCTGCCTGGAAAATCGGTCAGCTGCCGATTATCGGTAAAACGTGCCGGAACGGTGATGTCGACGATTGACACGCGCGTTGCTTTACTCTTTCCACGATTGTTATATAATACGAGGACGAAGGATCTCTTGATACGAAAATAATTTCGGGCCAAGAAACCGATTTAGCCTGTGACAGGTGGGAAGACAATTCATGGCTGTCCAAAACATGGATCGGTTGAGATGGAAACACACTTCGTCCAAATTGAATTACTTATGGCTAGACTGCGGAAATTTATGCACATTCACAATTTTGGATACTAATATCCAAATATTATAATGAAGCAGAATTTTGAATTCTGTAGCAGAGGATTTACTATGTGAGTAATAATAATAATAATAATAATAATTTATCAACGGGACAAATTCCCTTTTGTACAGAGTTATAACACATGAATAGTGTTAATTAAAATCATTGTTTTATTGCATTTTCCAAGTTAAGGGACACTGTGCATGTAAATGCATAAATACCCGCAGTTTACTTTTTCATTGAAACGATGTCGTGCGAAATGACTTTGTTCGAATGCTAGTTTCGGTGCAGCGTAGAGCAAAACTTCTCTTTTTCTTGTGTAGCTCGAGGATGATTTAACGGCGGCGAACGATAACGAGCAATTACGAACGGCATTAAAATGTCAAGGAGAACGTTCGTGTCGTCGCCTCTCACGGTCATTTCGTCCGATAAATATCGAACTAGGAAAAGCAGCTCGGCGAACACGTTGCGAATGAAACCGTTGAACGGTCCCTTTGTGTTTACCGTTTTGTATCGCTAGTTAATTATTATAATTGCAAATCAAATACTTTATCGGTCGAGACGTTCGATATTTAGCTTCCACAGTGGCAGGCTGGAAACTTGCGCGATGACGCCAAAGTAAAGGCAAACTAAAATACAGTGGACTCTTACGATATTGCCATGGTCGGACCCGTAGGAGAGTAAAGTGGCAATGTGCTCAGAGCCCCCTCCATGCTAAGTTCTGTCGTCATAGCCTGGGCCTTAGCGCCTGCGCAGAAGTTGGATCGTGCTGGTGCGCCGGCGTACGTGGTGGGAGAGCGAATTTGTGTGCCCAAAAGTACACCCACGAACAAACTCGGCTTCGACTAGGGGAAAAACTGGCATAGAAGGGCCTCCTACCACTTGGTAAAATTATTTAAAAAAATAAGAAGACATTACCGGCGAAATTCTTTGGGTTGCCTGTCGCGCAATTGTTAACAATAACCCGTGAACCAGTGGAAAAAGACAAGCGTGAATGAGGAAAGGAAGAGAAATTCGAACGTTCGGTCTTCTGTTGTGCAAGTTCGACCGGAACTAATATCTTCCGCTCGATGACAAATGTCGGGGGGGGGGGGGCTCCCTCATTCGTTTCTTTCTTTGCCTTGGGCTATAGATCACAGATTCGAACTTCGTGACCGGCGATAAGTTTTATCAGGCGAGAACGATGTCTCCACGGCAAGATGCTGCTACCTGGTACCCCAACCCCTTACCTAAACGCCAGTCGCCAACGGTCAGAGGAAAACGATCGCGATAAACAACGTCTTTTTATTTCGTTTACCAAGTTGCTGAAAGTTTTACGGCGGATAGAAGTCGATTCGATTTCACGAGCACGCGATTCCCTCCCCTCGAAGAAACTTTCGATGATTTCATCGAGTAGCGACGGCAGCTTCGATAAAATTACGCTCACATTCGACCGATTATTTGCTCGCCGAGTATACAGGGTGTCTCGTTTAGGTATGATCCCTCACCCCCGAATATCGTTTTTAATTATGAGAACGCCAAAAATATTTTATACGATAATTTGAATGGTATTAAGTGTCTGCAGGCGTTTTTTTTTTCAATGTTTGATAAAAAATACATTCAGATATGTACTATGATATGACCTTCGGATGACCTTGAGCCCCGAAAAAGAAGGTTAACGGCGACCTTGCAAAATTCCACAAAGAAACAAAACTCCTGCAAGATACGGACTACCAAATACCATTCAAATTACGTAAAAAATCTATTTTCCGTTTTCACAATTAAGAAAAGATATTCGACAGGTCACACTTAAATCTGACACCCCGTATTTGTATAACTTTCCAAGCCTAATGAGACGAACCGCCTATTTATTCAGCGACAAACGACGATACGAGTCGAATTTCGGGTTGAAGTAAGTTCATCAAAACTCCGTGGATCTCGATCGACCGTTAAATTCGTCCGACACAGTAGCCGAACCACAAACCGCATCGAGAAGCGCGGCAAGTTTCTCTAATGTTCAAGCCTCTGTCGATTTGCTATCTATACAAATTAATTTCTCTCGCAGCTGCGAAGCAATTCCAGTTGCTACGCTGTGTGTGTATACCAGGATTACCCGTCAAGATCCCCTGTTGCATTTGCCATTAATGCCGACTGGCCGACGCGGTGTGTACAACCAGAGGAGCATGAGAAGAGGGAGGCGGCGTATACGTAAAGCGGGGCCGTTATTTTGTGCGCCTCTCGATTGCGCGTTACCCAACCGTCCCCAATGAGAGCTGAGCGCGTTATTTCCCACCCCCATGTGCCCCATACGCCACCCTGTCGGACACACAACTACCATTCACGTGTGACAATGCATTAATTTTTCCACCCGTTCGTTCCGTAACCTTCGTAAATCATTTCTAGAAAGAGTATTATCCAGCCGAGATTACCGGGGGATACTTCAATTATTCAATATTTCGCAGGAACAAATAGCGCAAAATTTAACAAAATCCTCTCCCACCATTGCTCGGGGGTAATCATCTACCTGGAAAAAACGTTGCATCGTACATAGGAACGAATGTAACACGCGACCGTTTACATAATTGCAGGTCGTTCATTCTGTTTTATGGGAGACAACGACGTGTACGGGCATTTTCGTTCGTAATCTCCCGTGTCAAAGAGACGAGAATTGATCGAACGAGCGCTAAGTTGTGCCCCTTCCTCTCTGTAATCTAAACATATTTGGTTTTTCTGGGTGATAAAAAATAGATAAACATAGTTAGTTTTCAGGGTGATTCTAGACTTCGGGCATCTAACGTAAGGCGTTTCGTCCGACCCAACTGTTTACCATGCTTCTCAAACTTACCCACGATTTTTGTAGGCCCAGGCCTAACCTAGACGTAATCCAGATTCAATCCATTCGGCCTAATTACGCGTCGAAGATTGTATTCATCGCATTGTTTTCTGATCGCAGGCACCAGTTCTACTTGCATTCCCGTTTGGAGCTAATCGAGGGTAGACTGAAGGTCTCTGACTGGGGTTCGGTGGCGCGGTTGGTCGCCCTGATAGCGCAGGCAGACGTGGGCGATTACGATGCCCTATCGCCGCCGCATGCACTTTACTCGCAGTGCTGTCAGATACAACCGACGGAACCGTGCGAGCCGAAACCTCAGGACCTTCTGCACCGGATAGTTCAGCAACACAAAGAAATCAAGGTTCGATATTTTGTTCTGTTTCTTTTCTTCTTTCGCTTCTTGAGCACTCCCTCGTCACTTTCACGATTCTCCGAATTGTGATCTGCAAATTATCGTTATACCGTTATGTTTTCATGTCCAGAGCATGAAGGCGTCGACCGCCGAGTACTGGCTGCTGAAAGAGATCTCGAATCTGGACACTTTCGGCCAAGAGATGTTTCACAGTAAATTCGGCTCCAACGGAGTGTCCATGATCGGGGTCGGGCCACACGGAATCACGGTTTATCGCAGCGAAGACGAGGAGACACAAAAGTACGTACGTGTTTACCACCACCGTTCTTACGAGGTCGATTGGAAACGAACTTTATGCTCCTTGTTCGGGAAACCGTACAGTTCAAGCCTAGCCCCATATACACACGTCAGAAACGAGATTTTCGAATTGTACGGATTTCCTTTGTTTTACAGCATACCGTACACAGCGATACAGAGCGCAACGTCGCAGCGTCGGATGTTCCATTTGGTTTATCTGTCCCTCGACGGCGAGGAGACTTCGTTGAACTTCAAATTGGACTCGAGTCAGTCCGCCAGCGGGCTCTACCGAGCGATCACCGAGAAGCACGCGTTTTACAGTTGCGAGACGGTCAGGAGCGCTGTGACCGCGCAGTTCATACGAGACCTGAAGGTATTTAACGAAGAATATGTTTGTGCAATAGAATCTAGGACAATTGTAGCGAATTTGCTTTTCCTATTTAAGATTGTTAGTACCTTTATTTATCGTTCCCAACTCCTTGAGTTGGTAAATTGTTATACCCCCGCGAGATCGTTCAGATTCACACGGACTTTTCTCCCACATCGTTATACAGACTCCTCTCGATTATCGTCCCGAACTCAGGTCCGCGCCGGGACAATAATCCTGTAGGGAGAAATGTTTCAGACCCTCGTAAATTCGTTTTTTGCCCGAAGCCTGATCCTCGCACAATAATCGTGTAGAATCAATGGCTGATGCAGACTTATCCCCGTTTATCCGTATCATCTGTCTCGATAAAGACAATATATTAAATAAATAAACAATCGTCGACGAAGATTATGTAAAAGGGTTCACAGAATTTAACCGAATTGTGTTCGTTTCTGCGCGCAGGGCACTATAATCTCGATCTTCAACGAGGATTCGACGCTGGGTAAAAAGTACGTGTTCGATATCCGTAGAACGTGCCGCGAGGTGTACGACAACGCGAGACGAGCTTTGTACTGTGAGGCAACCACCGTCAGCTTGCCGGAGGAGAAGGAAATTTTGGAGAGGCACGATTGTGCCGGGGACTGCGAGGATCCCAAGTGCAAGGTATTTCGAGAAACTTACCCGCCTTAACCGGACCTGCTAAATTGAAACGAAAGGCGAACGAGGGTCGTGCAACTGTTCGGAATTGTTTAACTTACAGGAATCCCGGGAATGTCTGGCAAGATTATTGGACGCGATGCTCTGTCGTATCTGCATGGATCGTAGCTTGGACACCGCCCTGTTCCCGTGCGGACACGCGGTCGCGTGCCTCGATTGCGCCCGTCGTTGCGAGCGTTGCCCCCTCTGTCGGGCGGACATAGACCATTGTCGGACGATTTATCTACCGATCGAGCTGACCCACGTCGATAAGCACAATCCAAGATCGGTCACGGACACCATCGAGCCGGTGTACGGTCAGACGTCCACGGATGAGATTCAGAAGCGAACGTTGGTCACGGAGACCTCGGTGGTAAACGGGAACGCCACTTGAGAACACCACCGTCGTGTCAGAAGGTTCACCGTGTTACGGAGGTTCTTCGGGGATCTTCGCTGGTCCGCTGGGGCCAGAACGTGTCGTTGAAGTCATTCTACCTTTAAAAACGTATTGCAACGGAAACTGTGTTTTAGTTACCTTTTTGATCCTCTTCTTCGAACGATGTGAAATGTTTGGAGTTTTTTTTTTTTTCTTTTTTTTTTTTTTTTTTTTTTTTTGTTATGGTCGACCACGAGAGCGGTGGCTTTTCCGCGTGAATTGTGCATATTCGGATTCTCAAACTGTCTTTAAATATACCGCTGAAACGGTTTATCGGTACACTGTGATTACGATGGACACATCCCGTGTCCGTTCCCCGCGACTTCTACGACGGTTTCTAGGAGTTGCATTTTTTTTTTACCTGTACGTGAAATCGATGTTACGCACCGCTTCTTGGTCGAGCGACCTAGAAACGCTGTTTGGCGGCATTGATCACCGAGAGAAAAGAAAGACGCTGCCGTTTATATTTCACAACGTGTTTGACGTGGCCCGTTGATTTATATCGATGTAAAATTCGATGCGTCGCGTGTAGATTTATTTTCTTTTTTTTTTTTATCGACAATCGGACCAATAAGTTCAATTATTATTTTATTGCTGTTCTACAATACTTCTTGTTACATTTTGTTCCTCTAGGACAGATTGTACACTGTTTTGTTTCTCGTATGTGTCAACTTTCATTTAGATACGGTCCCCAGGGCGCTCGGGTGAACAGTTTTATCGAAACCAGTGACCCTTCGTATATTTTAATACATATAGTACACGTTACTCGCTATGCGTACGCAGTGTAAAAAAAAAAAAGAAAAAGAAACGACCGCCACAACGGGCTTCTTTGTAAAGGACGTTCCATTTAAAGCGTTACGCGTGTAAGAGTCACGAACGACGGCGCACAAGGTCTATTGAATCGTTTTTCAATTGCAAAGTAACGTGTTTCGATACGATGCAACGTCATTCCATATTCCGTCTGTTCCCGTGTCCAGATGTATAGGTAGTCGTTCGATAACTAAACAGCTCGTTCTCGGGAATCGATTAACGCATACCAATGTTACTTTTCCGTTTTCCATGAAACGTCCTGTACAAGAGGGAAACCGTGTTATAGTAATATCTGTTTATATGTACATAAAGAATAAGATAACCCGCGGTAGGGTCGAGCGAGTAAAAAGTCATGCGTTCACCAAATGTCAAATCTGATTTAACGAACTCAGCGCGTATGCCATCTTTTAAATAAGTCATAATAAAAACACAAGAAGAAGAAGAAGAAGAACACGCGGTTAATTGACTCGCGTGGGCACACACAGGCACACACAAAAGATGGTTTAACGAGTTGTTACAAGTCAGATATATCTCGTTTCCAAAGGAGGACAGAAGCAGGCTGTTTCCGAATGAAAGGAAAAGAGGATACAAAACATTGGAAACGTTCAAAGAAGCCTGCGATTACATGCGTATTATATTCGTTTTTCTTCTTTTTCACGCGATGTATCATCCTCTTTTCTTCTTCTTCTTCTCGATCGTCAACACAATTATCGTCGTTACCATCTTTGAGTGTAAGAGTTGGAGTTAGTTGAAACGCCTATAAGTAGCATATTATGAATCTTGCATGCGTGTTGGAGGAGAGAATGGGAAACAAGGAAATCGTTGTAGTCATTCATCAATGCAAAGCAGACCTAGTTTATAATTATTTATAAGGAAGAAAGAAATAGCGTTTTTACACGTTAACTACGTTCTACGATTGCAAATATATGTGACTGACAAGTGATCGCGAGAATTATTCTTTTTAAGTCAGCGAAGCGTGATCCTATTTTTGTTTCCTGACGCGTTTCACGCTTTTTATCCGTCGAACAGTTAAATCTGTTGATTTTCGTTACTATTTTTATACGGTTACTGGTTATGAAAATCGCGATTACGCTTCTTCTACGAATCAGATATCGATTTTCAGTGATTCCGTAGACGTGAATGCAACGACAAGTGTACATGTTCGACAAATATTTGAATTCAAAGTTCAGACGGAACGAATGACATTGTCGGTGCAACCACACCGCAACAAAGCTACTTCCATGATATCGGAAACAAGAATATTGTCTCTTAGTTTTTACAAATTGTGCGTATAGAATACCACGATAGGCTGTTGCACGGTAAAAGTCTGTTTCTCAAGGGGAACGCTATAGAAAAAACTGTTCGGTAAATAATGGTATGCGGTCTCGGGGGCAAAAAAAAGTCTTCGCCGCCGGTATACATTTATTTCGTGTATGTAAAGTTAACGACAAGAACAAAAAAATACCATCGTCATAATAATAAAAATAAAAACATTATTGTAATTAATTCTTTGTATAAAGCCATACACGACGGAGTTCGAAATCATTGTAGCTGTTAGATCTGTAGGTAGAGACGAAAGATATCAGAGAGAATGGATTTCTAAGAATTATCATTTGCAAAGAGTATTTTTAAAGTATTTTCGATTATTTTTTAGTATTATATCAGGATTCCACTTGAACAGTGGTGTATGTATACATATGAAAACGACACAATCTATGAATATATGAAAAATAATTTTTAGCATTACAAAGGTACAATTACAATGTCCCAACCTGTTGATTAAATACCATGAAACATCGATTGTTGGTTGCATTTTTCCCCTTCCCTCTTGATCTATACCTGTCCCTGAATTTCGTAAAGGGTTAATAAATGTGATGTACCTCAATTCATATGCTTGATGTAAAGTACAAAGTGTTGAATATTAATGTCAATATCGTTCATAGAAATATCCTCCAACTATTCCAATTATATTTCTGACACTACATTTATCGTCATCTAATTCTACTGAATATTTTATCCATTTCTTCCTTTCATCTTAAGCACTATTGATTCCACTTATTGTAATTCGTTTTGTAAACGTTTCGAAAAGACCACGGTAAACGAGAAATGAATCGATTATTTGAAACATATCCAAAGAGATCTTTGCTTAAAGTTCAACGAACAGTAAATGTTACGTAACAGTCGTAAAATTGATGCGGATAGCTCGAACGAAAAAATTTCGAATGTCGCGCGGAAATATTCTTAGCGGCGGTTCAGTTGGAACTGCTCGGGTTCGCGCATGCGTCCTGAAAGCCGATTGGTCGACGGAGCGGCACTGTCATATGACGAAGCTGCGTGGCATCATGGGAAGCGGATCGCAATTTTGCAACATGGCGGTGAATTGAGGCAAAGTCGTGGTGCTGTGCCATCAGAAAATGTATTTTTCATAGTCGCGCGACCTCTTTTATTATAGTTTTCATGCATGCGACAGTGTGATACGGATTCGGGACGCGTCAGACGGTGCACGATAGATGTAAATATGAGTGGGACGAGACGCAACATTATTCCGAAGGTGACACCCCGCAACTCGGTGTGGTACTCGAGCACGTATGGCAGAGACTAGAATCCGAGATAAGGAAGCCCCGCTTCGGCCCAGTAATACGTATCGCCGACCGAAATTACCACCGCGAAATAGCGATGCGGTGGTTAATCCCCCCGAACTGTGAAAACGTGAGTGTTCCCGTGTAATATGTAAACTCTGTGCGTGCGAAAGTGCCGTGGGCTGCGTATTTCGGTAGCGAGTACGGTACACGGCTGCCTTCTCCTTAGTCTCTCCACGATCCTTTTCTTACCTTTCGTCCGACGATCATTTCGTCGTCGAAATTCTCTCAGCTTTGTCGCAAACGATTTCGTTTGTCGACGATTGCGTTGCAGCTTGCTTCGAAACGTGAACATTTCAATGTACAACACCGTTCCGATGAATGTGCCACCATTGCATCAAATATTCTTGGACGTAGTCACGTTTTCTTGATTTTCCTACCGAATACACGGCTTTCCGGTTTCCTCGAAATCTTTCATCCTCGTTCTTTCCGCTAACCGTGGTCTTGTTACCCGTGAAACGAGTATTTCAGTCGATTTTCATAAAAATACCTACGTTTGCGTTTTGCTCGCGTTTCCTCCTTGGGATTGTGCTTGTACCGTATTACATACGAAATTATTGTGAACACCAGCGAAACGAAATGTGCTCCCCACGGTTTTTTCTTCGGTTACCGACTCCCGAGGAAGTGTTTTATGGTCGGTGTCGGTAAACGTCGATGTAGCAATGCTCCAAAAATACCACATGTTACGGTATTCTAAAAGCATCGCTGCTTTGCAATGCTTTAATAACGATACGAGATCATCGCGAACAACAATGCGTTTTGTTTGTTCGTCGAGTTATCAGTGTTTTAGAAAACAATGCAGACGTCTCAATTGTTCCATTATATTGTGTGTCAAGTTGAACGTAGAGCAAAATTTGTGAAAGATTTCATTTGGATTATATTTCATAACCAACTAGTTGTGTTTACATGTACTACTTGTCGACTGTATAATCATAGATAGAAGATACAATTTGATGTATTAAACAGCATCTTATACGATGCTATTAAATCAATTATATACGCCTGTTTCGTTTAGTCTGTGTCAACTACACATAAGGAGAGAACGCACAGTCATATTTGTATAAAAATCTATTACCTCGATCAGTCTTGAATGGGTGTTACGCAATTAAAGTACAAATTTGTTTGGACACATTAAACAATTGTGTTTTCTGCGTTCAGTACAGAATGAGGTCACAGCTGCACCCAAATAAACTAATTTGCATACAATAAGGTTTCCGACACATTTCAAATAATATACACTAGTCCCCTCTTAACACGAATGTATTTTTTTCCCCGTTTAATTGACGCGGAGTTATCTCTACCAATTTCTGGAACTGTTACCTCGGAACGAGCGTCCACGTTATCTGTGCTACACATCGTAAAACAGCTGTTCGAACCTTTTTGTATATTTCACTCGCGCTCAATGTTTCTCACTCTCACTTTTGACACTGTCAAGGAGCAACTCCTAGACCACCTACCTCCCTCGATAAGTGTTGCACGGTGAACCCTAAGCTTGCCCTGAATTAATCAGGGACTACTAAACCTTGAGCCTGTTTCCATATAACATTTTTTATCGTCGATATCGTCCTTACTCGTATAAACGTCTTGCCTGTGTACTATTATGGAACGAATGAATCGAAGTCAACCATTGAACTAATGAATATGTTTCCTTTTCTTTTTCAGGCTTGCGCAAAATTCCAAAACACTGTCAATCATACTAACTTGTGATCGTATATGCGTGCCAAACAAAGATATATAAAAGGTCGTTGAAGAGACCCGATGGTTTCCTGACACGATGGAAAGTAAATTATACGTAAAGAATGAGCCGGGTCTCGACGGGCAGTTAACGAATCCACAAGCGAATTCATCCTCCGAGGATAACAGAGGCGCGTGGGTTTGTTTCGTTTGCGGAACGGTGGGCCACGGAGAGCAGTACTGGCTACGAGTGAAGCCGAATCCAGGCGGAGCACCGAACGAACCTTATTTTCCGTTTCTCGAGTCCCACGAACCACCCGCCGGCTACCGCGGCGAGGGCGCTCGAAGCGGAGCAGTGAGATCGTGCAGTCTTTGCTACGCCTTACTCTTGCAACAATGGGAGAGTTACGAACAGGATGCCAGACCTCACAGTCAACGTATTTATTGGCTGAAACGATGCGACGGCGGACCTTTTACCGGGGCCGAGATGGCTCTGCAGGGGGAATACGCAGCGCAGGTTCTTGGTTTGACCAACGAGCAGACGCCGCAGCTAAAACTGGAAAATCGGCCGGTGGGCATCTCGCCGCGACTTCCCCTGAACTCGCCGTCGCCCAAAGTCGAGCAAACGAGGCCGCCGTCGAATTCGATCGAGCTGCCCAGACCGCATTCGAACACGGCTGAAACGCACAGGCACCTGGAACAGGCTAGGCTCACTATGGAATCTCCCCATCAAAGACTGCAATCGCCTAAACAAAGGTTACAAAGTCCTCGGCAGCCGGTGGAAGACACAAAAGTGTCCAACGAAGCAGCCCTCGACCTGAGACACGCACCAAGAAGTTCACCTGCGCCACAACCAGCAGTACCGCCACAACCTCAATGTACGTTTAGATTTTTTACTTGAAACATGTCAGATTCTTAACAATATTCTTGAGGACGTTCGTTCTAATGAAGGTACGGAATTATCGCATCGGGAGGATATTAAAGAGTAAACGTATAAACCAGACCGATTTATTTATGTTGAGTACACAGTTGATTCATTCGGTGGAGTAGATGTTTGTAAATAAAGGTCAACAGTCTCGTAGATAAAGCGTTAAAAGTGTATCTAATTTAACTTCTGATCTCAGGCCTTCGGTACGCTCGTAACTTGTGTTCGCCCTTTCGAGATCTAATTCGGCCGATCCGATACTCATTAGCCGGCGTGTCTGGCTGATAAGTAGGTCGCCCGAAATCGGACTGTGTTCGCCGTCCCGAACTACAAAATTCTCGTTGTTTCGTATTCAAAGCGTAGCGATAATACCATGAAAAATACGTGGGCCTAAGTGGGCCACGTGCAACACGGCTATACAATCTTTTCTCTGTGTGACGTATAATGTTTTGCTGGTAAATTGAAACGATCGGGTAATAGATTGTTTTGTTATTCTAGACACTGGCGCGATTATGCGGATAGGATATTATTTAATCGTTGTTCCGTTTGTGTATTTACAGCGATTTACAGCAGTGGATCATCATCGAGCGTCGGGACCGACATCTTAGATCTTTCGATGCCGGATAAAAATTCGGTCACGGAAGTTTGTTATGTCTGCGGGGATGAGTTTAAGAGAGGATCGCTTAGTCATATTGCAGCGAAACCACTGCCAACTGCACCGCATCCATCGGCCACCCCGCTGCCATTCTTTCCTTCCCTAACGCTTCATCCGAGACCGAGCAGAAGTCGACCCATGGACAGCGCTGGTCGTGTACAGGTGCGTCCATTTTTCATAAACATATTTTTTTTTTTTCCACACGAACATTACGACAATCTGAACGTTACGCCGTTTTCGTTTTCAGGCATGTACAGCGTGTCAGAATCACCTTCTGTTGCAATGGAAAGCGTACACCCGACAGGGAGTGCCGCACGGTGATCGGAACTACACGCTTCGTAATCGGCAAGCACTCGCAATGGACACGACCACCTTTATCTGCTACACTTGCGCGCTCGAGTACCCTTCGTCCAGTATTAGACTTCTTTATTGCTGTCCTAATCCCGAGAAGGAGGCGTACTATCCTTTTATTTATTCTCTGAGACCTCCGCCAGGAGCTAGTCCTATTAGTCCTCAGGGAATGGTGCAAGTATGCTCCATTTGTTACCAAGCCATACCGCAGAAGCAGCAAGTGTTCGGCGGTGATAATCACGAGGCACAGCAGCCCGCGGGGCAAACAGTGGATTTTCGGCAGCAGGGCCCCTCACCGCGACCCGTGGTGGCCAAGTCGCCGGCGAATTCGGCCGGCAGCGATATTCGTTTCAAGCCGTACGATCTGAACAAGTCGACGGTCGCGACGAATAAACAACGGACCGCCACGGTGAAAGGAACCACGCCCGGCCAACGAAACTCGCCGAATAACGCCCCCGCGGAGAACGGGACCGTTGCCCTCGGCCAGAACTATAGGTGCTATATCTGCGAGAGACTGTATCCCCGCACTCACATGGAATGGTACGATACAATACTACACACGCGAACGATAATATTTCGTCCCGGATATCGTGATCGATGACATCGTTAACCGTTGTACGGGACATTCGCAGGTTGTCTACGAGCCCGGAAGGAATGAATTCGCACGCGATGCATTTTCCTTGCTTGCGTGGAATGGCACGGACTTCCGAGAATGCCTGTATGGACAGTCACGGCAGAGTGTTGGCATGCAGTCACTGTGTGAATCATCTCGCCCAACAGTGGGAGAGCATGGATGCTGAACGTGTTCCTTTAGAACGTCGCAGGTCAGTTGTCGTTTCGGTAGTTGCGTCTTGAAACGACGCGATACGATGCGTGGTTAATGTTCAATTATCATTTCAGGTATGATATTCCTAGTCCACATCCAAACGGCGACGTGAATCGATCGATCGCCACACCACCGAGCTCCAGCTCGGATCGAACGTTCGGTAGCAATCCAGGCACATCGAGCAGTTCCATTTATTGTTTCCTGTGCGGTCTGCACAGCGATCTCACTCTCGCGAGGGTACTGTACGGTCGGCCACAGGGTCGGAACGCGCCGTTTTTCCCCGAGTTACTGTGTCATCAGTCTCCGCCGAACGCCGAGCAACTCCGAGAGGACGGTTCCGCGCTGGTGTGCACGTTCTGTTATCACTCGCTTCTGACGCAATGGCGTCGATACGAATCTCTTCCCAACGGCCAGCAGGTGAACCCCGCGGAAAGACAGTACAACACGCACGATTACTGCTGTTACGTTTGCGGCATCACGACGTATCGGAAACGTGTCAGAGCGTTGCTCGTGAAGGATTTCCCGTTCTTGAAGTATCACAGACAACCGGAGAAGAGTTTGTTGCTGGAGAACGGGGACTTCGCGGTGGTTTGCTTGGATTGTTACGAAACGTTGCGCACCCAGAGTCTCGAGTACGAACGATGGGGTTTGCCTGTCGAGAAACGGGAATACAATTGGATCGTGCAACCACCGCCGCCGGAGGACAGTCCCGACGCAGCCATCGCTAGATTGCCTTCCGGTGAACGGTCCGAGAAGGTGGTGAGTGCGATCTCTCTGAATAATTCGAAATTCCGCGTTGGAACGACGCGATATCTGGAACGATTGGTCGTTAACGCACCGCGAACACTTGCTGTTTTAGGTCCCGTCGACGTTAACCGTTCGACCGGCACGAAAGAATTGTTCCCCAAAGGCGCCGGATAAGAAGGTTCCAGCCAAGGTCCCGGAGAAAGAACAAGGTAGGCGATACAGTTTGCTAATTGCATTGATTGTTACGGAAATTGAAATGAACGTGAACGGGAAATTCCGTGTACCTCTTTCGAACGGGGGGACAAAAAGAGTCGTTAATCGTGTACCACCGAGAAACGATGGAATCTTATGTTATTCACCGTCTTTTCCTTTATTGGAAGACCTATGTGCATCCGCAGAAAGATTAGGCACACAAGTATCGCAGATAAGAAAAATCCGTTCCGCGGTCAAACATTTGCCAGAGGCACGCTAAGGTTATCGGTCCGTATTTTAGCGCTATCTCGCGCGTTCACGTTCATCTCTCTTTCCCGAGTCACTCGAATCGATCGCGTTACAGTTTCTTCGCCGCTGCGGTGTACCGTCTCGTAGAAACTATATTGCATTTCGAAATCTGCTTACACGATATACACTGTCGTCGTCGCATGCAGCGTTAATTCGACGATGGAATACCTATAGAATGTCGTAGACTCGTGTTTTAATATATAGAAACGAAAAACCGACAAGTCGAAGTCGGTAAACAGCATGGGACTTTTTTTGGTAACGTTGCGAATAAGAGGCACCGTTACTCATCTTCGTTTCGCACAGTCTACATACACTAGTATCAAGAGACATGTACATATATACTTGGGACAAAGATACGGTGACATTCTAAGCAGGTGGGAGTAGTAGGTGTACCGTTGTAAAGGATCAAGACAGGGAATGGATGAGGCGCGAGTGGAGCTCGTGAAGAAACGGACAAAAGAATACCGATGGTTCAGAACCGATCAGAAGGATGATCTAATGGTTCCCGCGTTCTTTTCTTTTATTTTTTATTCTCCATTCTCATTCCCTGTCTCTCTTCGCGTTTCCTTCTTCCACACAATTTGCCCAAGGTTACGATCACTCCAAAAACCTTATCGGTACGTTTCACGATCGCGTTACTCCCTAACCTATTTCTCGGTCACGTACTCCAGAAATGGAGTTTCAGGGAAACAGAAAGTTGATGCAGTAACCGAAAATCGTCTCCAGCGGTAATATCGTTTCGATTTGATCGATTAAGTTAAGGTGATCTTAAAGTCACGTGCTGCACCGTAAACAAGAACCCTGACAAATTTGTTTCTTTAGTTCTTTTAGAGATCTCGAGCAAAGTTTTCCGTGTCGTTTAAGCAGTTCGGTCACGGCTCGTATGTTCCGCCGAGAAACAAAACGCAACCAGGGAACTTTCCAGCCTCGGCCTGTTGTTAGTCCGTAACACCTTTTCTTCTTTGTTGGCTTTTTATCGTTTCTGGCTTACCCGGCCATGCATGTAACCCACCCTCCCCCCTCTTCTCCTCTTGGTACCACGAAAGGTAACTTTTCTCGAGTTTACCGTCCACGATCGTGTGTAACAACACGGGCGCCGTTGCTGGCCTGTTATTTAGAAGTCGTAAACTTACGCTCGTCGAATCTGCCCTCGCATTTTTCGTTTCGATTCGAGTGCTCGCGTAAACGGGGACGGTGGAGAACCGGGCGTAAAACCAGAAACGCTTATCCGTGTGACTCAATATTACTTTTTTTCCCTCTTTCGATATATGGTTCCAGTATTGAAATAAATTCATGGAAAAATCGAGCAACCAATGTTTCTCGCGGTGAAAAGAGCGTGGTGTAGCATTTGGATTAAGCGCGATAGGTACGATCAGTCACATCCGGAAAATCCTTTGGTGCAAAGTTAGGATGATATAAATCAAAATACGTGGATATAAAAATGAAACTAAAATAGGTTTGACGGTAATTAATAATTTATGTCTACGTGCACTTAAAATGAAAGAAGTACAGTGGACTCTAACTATATCGCCAAGGTCGGGGTTGTGGGGCAGTGAAATGGCAATAAGTTCAGAGCCCCCTCCATGCTAAGTTGTATCGTCATAGCCTCGACGTCAGCGCCTGCGCAAAAGCTAGATCGTGCGTTATGGGGGAGTGAATTTGTGTTCTCGAAGGTACGCGTGAAGGGGAAGTGCCACGCGTGGCAATATAGTCAGAGTCCACTGTAGTTTAATACGTCGAACGTACCTCGATACGACAAGGTGCTCGAAGCTCAAGGTATACCGCGAAGTATTTCACTCGAGGCACTTGAGCCACGTTCTCGTATCGCGATCTGGATTACTGTTAGCAAAAGGCGGATCATCGAGTTCCGCAAACCAAACGTAAAAAGACACCCCCTTCCCTGGTTCCGTTCGAATCGATTCCTCGAGTCTTCCTTCGTTTCCCGTGTGCAGTTCGACTTATTATTAGAGACTTAACTTTGTGTTCGATGGAAGGCACAGAGAACATGCGGACATTTATGGGACTGGGCTTAAGAATGGACGAGCAATCGAAAAAAAAAACAAAATTCGTCGGAAGTACGCACAGGTATTCTAGGGCGTGAGAGACCAAGGGTATAGTACCCGTGTTCGAGAGAAACTGACGTTTCCACGGTACACGATCGCCGAGATCAGGATGTCGATTAAGGTCGGTCGATCCGGCTTAGACGAAGTAGGCGGGTTCGAGGGTGTCGGAGGGATTTAACGCAGAGGGTTCGCTGGTACTGGGAGGGTAGGTAGCGGTGCTAGTTCGTAGCGAAAGGGGGCAAATGGGGGAGAGCCGTGACCAGTAAAGGGAGGTGGGGATGCCGAGAGGGAGAAAGAGCAAACGCCTGCAGCGTGACACCGCATTGCGCCCACTTGCAAACCCGCCCAACACCTAAATTCGAATTAGGGAGCCAGGTCCTGTCGTTTCTCGTCAACACAGACTCTCCTGTCCTCTGGTAAACCTACAGGACAGGACATCATCGTCTTCTTATATCTACGTGCGGTGGAACAGGGACTGTTAGAAAAGGAGGGAAATGCGGGTCTACGTGTGGTTTGCCGTGTGTATGTATACACAAGCAACTTCCATCTACTACAATGCTCTGCTCCCTCACCGAGAGAGCAATCAGAAAGGGATAGAGAGAGAGAGAGAGAGAGAGAAGCGTGGACTTCGTTTTCCTCTTCCTTTGGGGATCGATATCAACGTTATCGACTGCTTTTCCCGCTCCTTGTCGCTCGAAGAACCACAACCTCGGGGCTAGGGGTTTCTCACGTATTCTCGTCAGGCGTGCAGCCAAACGGTATATACATAACATTTCCAACCGCGAGATCGGTGCCAATCGTCCTGTTCAGTCTTACAATTCCGTTGAACAATTAACGATCTATCGGAGGAAGGTGTCGATTTTTCATTTTTTTTTTCAAATTTCAACTTCGTGACCATGTTGAAAATTTTCGAACCGTTTACTTTAGATGGTAAAAAGCGTTACGAAGAAATCGCTATGGAAGAAGGTGGGGATAGTGATTGACAACCAAGTCGGATTCAAGCCGACCAAGCCAGATGACGTCACGAGGCCTGCTTATAGAGATCACATACCATCTCCTCTCGCCGAGGCCCCGTGACGTCATCTGGCTCGGTTACCCATTACTAAACACATCCCGACTTGTCAGTCAGCACGCGTCCGGCATGGTGAACGGACTTTCTGGCGCGCGAAACTTTGCCAACTCGATATTCGGCTGAATTATAGCGTTCGGTTCGTTCGTTGAATCGCGAGACGAAGCCCTCCGGTCCAGGGGATTAATGTTTTGAAAACATCGATGGAAATGACGCAATTCGTATCGCGACTCGCGATCAGGCTCGGTCGGCTTGAATCCGGCTTGGTTACCCATAATTACGTGGGGGGGTGACGGTTGGTGCGGCGCTCGAGAGCGATAAACGAGAAGCGGCATCGCTTTTTCCCCCCCGTATATATCGATAATTCGTCGACAGCGCGGGCGAACTTTAATCCGAAATCGTCGGACGGGGGAAACGGAGAAGCTTTAATCAGATACCTGGCGCGCGCGGATATTTACATTTTGATGGCTCAAGGGGGGTTAATACCGACGCGGAACGCGTTTCCTGCTGCCTCTGCGCCAGGTTGCTCTCTCTCTCTCTCTCTCTCTCTCTCTCTCTCTCTCTCTCTCTCTCGTTTCTCCGCGTGTGTGCACCCTCTTAGCGCGTACACCCACGGGATCCCTCTGTGTTGGCTCGCGTTAATAATTAACCACCGACCGCGGCGGCGTGTCCCGAGTAGCTTTTGCGAGCGCACTCGCGGCCAACTCCACGGCTCGTTTCATTTCGAGTAACATTCCTGTTCCACGTTCTCTCTCTTTCTCTCTGTTCTGTTTACCGATGCGGCTAACGTAACGCCCCGCTTGTCTTTTTCCGTCGCCGAGCTCACGGGACGTGAAACTCTTTCGACGGTTTTTCTTTTTGTACGTCGCAAGAGCGCTCTTACCCGATACGCGACACTTTTTTTCTGTTTCGTTCGCACTTGCAGCAGCCGCGATCGAGAGGGGTAATCTTGACGCGAGATTCGAAATGATTGACGGCGGTTTCGCGATCTGTACCGTTACGGAGCCAATTTCTGAACAGTTTAATACCCGAATATCATAGAATAAGTTTTTTATGATAAAAGTTTATTCCAGAAAATTACTAAATAGTTATTTACTGTTTTGGAATTTGTATGTAAAATGTGTTAGCTTAGAGTGAGATACCGATATATGATTTAGGTGATCAGAAATTTGTTCCCATCGCATTTCGAACTTCAAACGGTACATTATAATTTAATTGTTATTACTTTCGCGCTTTTGTTAATACTGAATTAAAGGTTAAACATAGATTTACTCGAATAACGACCAACCTTTTGGTTTTAGTTCACTTTTCCACTTACAAATTAAAAGTGCCGCGACAGTCATCAGGATACTGGGTCCATAACGATATACAGTAAATCATCGACGAGTGTTCGAAAGGGTCGAGCGTGAGATTAATTCGAAGCGAAGATCGGAAAGCATACATATATCGATCCGATTGCACGTCTATCGTATCGAAACACGTAGACATAACCGTATCCCGAGCATCGACACAGACCGAATCGTCCTTGAGCTTCTCCGCACGCGGAATCGGTCTCGCTCGAGCGTGATAAAAATAA